ATTTTTATAATATTTAAATAATTATTAATAGAGTTATATTAAAAAACCAATTTCAAAAAATTATGAATCACCCTGTATATACTGTATATATATTAAAACAAATTAATAATATTTAAATTAATAATAAGACCTGTGGATCTATAGCACAGTAGTTAGTGCTTTACAGATTAAATCACAAGATATTGATTTAACTTCAGGTGAAGTCAGTCAAATAAAATTAATATAATATCTGGTACCATAACCTAATATATACTGTTTCTTTTAAGAAGTCAATTTACATACTGATCCAGCAGGCATTAAGATTGTGACCTTCCCAAATAAGAAGAAGTGAAGTAATGATCATCTGGTTAGCATTATGATTATTAATTTCAAGTTTGATACATCCTCTGGTTTCCAAAAAGATATACTCTTTCTTCTCTTATAGTCTATAGGACTATAAAAAAAAACAATTTTTCAAGGACCTAACTAGAGTCACAAGATTTCTTCTTATTGGATATGGTTAGTCTGCAGCTAACTGTATTAGGATACAGTTCTTTAAGTTTCTATTCATCAGATGATGAGTGGAATTGGAAGGTGTACATCCTGGCATATTAGCACTCTATCTATGCTATTAGAGCTCCAATGTTGATAATATAGAAAGAATAAAGAGTAATAAGCTACTTGATAGTTAGAAATAATCTTAACTTAAGTAGTTTTATCAAGTCAACATAGTGGAAAATTTGTATAAAACAGATTTGTACATGCTAATTCTATCATATTAATAAAGCAAAGTGTACAAAAAAAAAAAATTAATAATATTATTTAAAATAATCTTTTACTTAAAAGCTACATATATAGATTTACTATTAATAACTACTGCAAGAATTTTAATATTTTATTTATTTAATTTATCTAAATAGTTTGATATAATTTATTATTTTGTCTATTTTTATATTAATATATTAATATTTTCAATTTTTTATATTAATATTTTTACTTTATTTATAATTAGGATTTTGAAATAATATTAAAATGACATTAAAATAATACTGACTTATAGTAAATTTAATATATAAGTTGTGATTCACTATATTATACTTATAATAAATATATATTTTAAAAAAATTTGATTTATTATATTGTTTCATCTATCAAAAATAAGAATTACTTATTGATAAGTTAATTTAGTATACTTGATTATATTATTCATTATAATTTTTGAATTTAAATCAAAGATATATTTATCAAGTATTTTATATTCAGATAATTGATAAAAGGACAAAAGTATTTAAATACTTTAATATATTTTATATTTTCAATTTATTTAAATATTCAACTATTTGTTACAGTTATATTTAATATAAATTGTTTAAAATGTTTTTGTTTAGATTTTAATAAAAATTGTTGAAGAATCCAATTACATAATGTTGTTTTAATTAGAAGTTGAAATTTCTGATTGCATAATAAAAAAATCTGATAAAAATATTGCTATAATATAATAAAATAACTTGATAAATTGGATTTTATTAAATTTTGGATCTTTTACCTTTTCTTGTTCATATTTTTAATTAAAAGTAAATATTCTTTAAGATTATTTTTTACTTATTTTTTTAATTTGAAATTTGGTATAATTTATATTCATAAATTAGATGGTGTTTCTTCTTTGCAAACCAAATATGCATAATAATAATTAATTGAATTGGCCTTTTCAGGTAAAATTCATATAAAATCTGTTAAAAATTATTTCGCTTTTATTTTTGATATACAGTCACCTCAAAAAGTAAGATCCGATTTGTATATAAAATGACATGATAAATTTAAATATAATATTCTCTCATTTTTTGTTATTTTTTGATGTTTATTATTTTTTTGTTTATTTTTTTGATCACCTTAAACATGATGTTCAAAAATATCCCCAAAAATAAAATCCATCTATACTCAGCTTACCAATTAAGACAAGAGAAAAATACTGAATTTGAGTGAGCATCTTAATGCTAAAAAAATAGTATTAAATATGGAACACAGTTCTACTACAATATGATAGTTTATTTACAAGTATAAAAAACCAGAAAAAATAAAGAATTTGCTGTGATCTGGTAAATCACAAGTTTTCAAAAAAGAAGAAAAAGAAATACTTGTGCAAGAAGCTATTACAACATGACATAAAACCATGTACGAAATTTTAGGTAACCTTAAACTCAAATGTTGTTTATCTATCACGAGAAATATACTATATCAGATCAAAATTCATTCATATATTGCTACCAAAAAACCTTATATTTTAAAAAGACAAGCTATTAGTTGGTACAAGAAAAATCAAAAAAATTTGATCTACAATTGGTGACAAATTATCTTTTTTAATAAAACAAGTATAAAAATTGGCAAACAGTCAAGACAAATATGAGTTTGGCACCATACAGGGGAAAGATATGACATTGATTATATAACACCCACTTTTAAAAGTGGTCATTATTCAATTATGATCTGAAAATGCTTTATTGGAGAAGTTAAAGGACCATTAATTTTTTGTGATCAATTCAAAAAAATCAATGAAAAAATCAATTCAAATATTTATCTTCAAATTTTAGAAACTCACTTTTTACCATTTCAATGTGGGGTATATGAATTAATAGGGTGGAATCCTGTTTTCCAACAGGATAATGCGCCAATACATACTGTACAAATCATTACAGAATGGTTCAAGACAAACAAAATCAAATTAATTGATTGACCAGCAAGCTCACCAGATCTAAATCCTACAGAGAATATCTAAAAACTATTAAAAAACAATGTTCAAAAGCATGAAAATTTTCCAAGAACAATAAGTGACCTAAAAATTGTCTTAACAGAAGAGTAGAAAAAATTCAATACTCTATTCTCCAGGAAATTTTACATTCAATGTTACAAAGAATTAGTGCAGTATTGCGTGCAGAGGGAGGGCCAACCAAATACTAGCTTAGTGATATATAAAAAATAAAATAAACGTAATCAAATAAATTTTTGACCTTAATTTTAAAATCGGGCCTTACTTTTTGAGGTGACTGTACTATATTATTTAGAAAAACTATTAATAACCTATTATCGTTAGATCATTTAACTAATATACGTAGTACTAATAGAGTCAATAACCTTGTTGAAAATTGCTAATGTTAATTGAAGATCTTTTAGCGTTTAGCATATGTAATATGCCAACCTTGACTTAAAGTAGCATGAAATACCAAAATCTACAATTAGCTGTTAGCTATAAATTTAAATGGTAATAGATTAACATTTAACCCTTGAGTGAGATTTTTTTTTTTAGTTGTCTTGCAAAATGACACAATACTTTCCGAGCCCTACAAATGCACTTGTAACCCTCGTTCACCAAAGTCCCTTGTTCCTGTTGACCATGAAAGCTGGTGAAAACCGTTTCAATACCAATTTTGTCAATGCACTACTTTCCGCATTGGACAGCATCGAACAGATTCGTGAAACCGAGGACGGCCAACCGGCAGCTTTGATAACTAGGGGGGAAGGAAAATTTTTTAGCAACGGGCTAGACTTGGAACACGCACTGAGTGTACCAGGCTTCTTCGATAATTATTATTTGAAACTGCTGGTCAGAATGTTAACGTTTCCGATTCCTACGGTGGCGGCGCTGAATGGGCACGCTTTCGCCGGTGGATGTATGTTTGCATTGGCACATGGTAAGAACAATTTGTTTACATTCAGTGCCTTGGAGCCGGGAATGTGTTAACCATAGTTAAATTCATAAATAGATTATCGAGTTATGCGAAGTGATCGAGGATATATATGTATGGTATGTTGATTAATATTTATGTTTCACGTCAATCCAATCTAACCCATAATCATATAGAATGAAGTAGATATACCGTCACCACTACATCCGGGGATGGCAGCAATAGTAAGAGTAAAAACGGTACCAAAAACCTATAGAAACTGTGTATTACAAGGTTACAGATTTAATGGTCAAGAAGCATTGGATCAGCAATTGGTGGATGTGATCGCTAAAGGTGAAGAGGAGGTGTTGATTAAGGCTAAGGAGCTAGGAAAGAAATGGTCAGGGAAAGCTAAGGCAGGTGTCATTTACGGATTGTTAAAAAGAGAGATGTACATAGAAGCAATCAATTACATGGAGGTTAAAGGCTGGAATGCTAAATTATGATTTGATTGTGTAAGCTGATAAGATTGAGATGACAGAGAAAATAAAATCTATAATTATATTTTTATTCAATATCAAAAGCGATTTGGACATTTCATATTTGCTTACGACGCCTTCTTCCTTTATTATCATATTCATTATTTCTGGGTTTTGATTGCTCTTCATTATTTCTGGGTCTTGGTTGTTCTATGCAACAATCATTACCGTCTACATTTATGAAACCTTGATTGACGGCCGAGTTATATGATTCACGTGTTGCGAAAGTAGCAAACGCACAATTCTGAGTTTTAGGAGAGGTAATTTTAATATGGGTCTTAAAATTATATGATAGATAGCAAGGGAAGAGAATAGGATAACAATTACTACCCTGTTTATTATCATTTCAACTTCGAGCACACGCCCGAAATTATCTTCTAGCTCTTTCTTTATTCTTTTCTTAGAGGCGTCATTAATGTGACCAACGTATACCCGAAATTCTCTTTCTAAAGTTATCACGTTAAAAACGATCGCACAACGTCCATTAATAAACAAATCATTTACACGAATCATAATTGAATCAATCAACTACCTTTCTTTAAATTCGGTTGATACCATTCTAGCTCACTGTCACTCTCGACTACATCGATCATTCTTCCTTTATTATCATCTTCATTATTTCTGGCTCTTGGCTGTTCTTCATTATTTCTGGGTCTTGGTTGTTCTATGCAACAATCGTTACCGTCTACATTTATGAAACCTTGATTGACGGCCGAGTTGTATGATTCACGTGTTGCGAAAGTAGCAAACGCACAATTCTGAGTTTTAGGAGAGGTAATTTTAACATGGGTCTTAAAATTATATGATAGATAGCAAGGGAAGAGAATAGGATAACAATTACTACCCTGTTTATTATCATTTCAACTTCGAGCACACGCCCGAAATTTTCTTCTAGCACTTTCTTTATTCTTTTCTTGGAGGCATCATTAATGTGACCCACGTATACCCGGAATTCTCTTTCTAAAGTTGTCACGTTAGAAACGATCACACGACATCTAACTATAATTAAATCAATCAATTACCTTTCTTTAAATTCGATAGATTTAAATTCGATAGATGCCATTCTGGCTCATTGTCGCTCTCGTCTACATCGAACAAAGATTGCGAAGTCACGGTTTCATTGGTGTTTATGGGAATGATTGAAGTAGCGTTAATGGGAACTTCAGATATCGAGAACTCTTTTTGACTATCATCATTTCCTGTGTCAGAATATTGATATAATTGATTGTGGTAGCTCAATGGCACTAACGAGAATTGGGGTATTTGTTTTTTTTTACCATTCACCACCTTCAAAACCTTGATCAAATCTTGTTGAATTTGGATTAACGACTCTTGCAATCGTATAATTCTTTCATCCTTTGACCTAATGACTTCATCCTTTATCTCTATTTGTCTTTTAAGTGCCTCGCAATTTCGACAGTAGTGACTCATTTTACTAGGTGAACTGTCGAGTTTGTCAATCCGTTTATTATGAATGACGAACTAACCAATCATAAATAATCTGCTACACGTTCCACATGTTCCACATGAAAAACATGTCAAATCCAAATAAAATATTTTTATAAGATTGATAACCGATTCCCACCCCTGATATCATTGTTATTCTTCTATTTAAGATTTGTTTATTCCGGATGAGTCCGTCCTTTTTGATTTATAGGACGTATTTGCGTATCACTCACATTGTCCTGTGCGTCTTGAAATTGGACCAATGATCAAAGACTTATCTATCACACACATAATGCCACGCCAGAAGGATCTGTTATGGTACGCGTTGGACCATCCGAAACTGCCAACTAAATTTGGAAAAACAAATGCAGTGCGAGAAAAAATGAAGACTTTTTTTTTTTTTTGAAGTTTAATAAAGTACGAAAATTAAAAATTCAGACAATGCCAACTGGAAATCATGAGAGATAAGGCCAGTGATGATAATCGTGAGTGCGACAAAAATGCGGGTTCAATTGATAAATATGGCGTAAAAGTGGATGAAATTTTGTTAAAGGGCAATAATAATTATGATCGTCAAAGTTCTTTGTGGTTCGCTTACTTCTCCCTGGCCAGCAATCTCGAAAAAAAAAAAATCACCAATTCGTTCTTCCGAACGCGAATCCCTTTTTCCGAGGGATAGTGGAAGAGAATGCACAATAGCCTAAGCCAGATGAACCACGCACCCATTATATAAAATTGAAACAATTTTTGTGTAAAGACTTATTTTTCTTTTGCATAAATTTCCCATATATAAAACCTAGAGAAAAAAAGTTCGTTGACACAAACTAAACTTAGACTGAGATGATTTTTGTGGAAGACACAGGGAGAATGAATCTACAGAATGAAAGAAATAAAAAACCTATAGAAAACGTAAACATGGTATGAATGTGTAAAAATGTGTGGTGTGTATGAGAAGAAATGCATAGTTTATGAATTATGAAGATGTGATAAGAAGGAGGGATTCCTGTTCTACTTTACGTAGGAACCATCGTCTAAGATAAAAAAAAAGAACATTGATTCAGGTTTCCAAGCAGAAATCAATCGAAAAAAGATAAAAAAAGTACACATACATAATTTTTGTAGTCGATGTTCGAGTATTCTTCCCATTCTACCAGATTTTAATGGATAGGACTCGACTCTCTTTGGATGATGGTTGAAAATTATCGAAGAGATCAGATTAATGTTGTCACCCCGGGGAACATCAGCGTCACGTCGTGGGGTGATTAAAAAGAAAAAGAAGAAGAAAGAAAAGAAAAAAGAAACCCATCTAAAAAGTTAATGATAAAAAACGGGACATAATAATCATAGTTTTTTTTCGCGTGATATTAAAAATTTTCCCAAAACAAAAATAGAAATATATAGAGGTGACCGATTTAAATTGTGAGAAGGGTTTGTGATGCAGAAAAAGTTCCCATCAGAGAAAAATGTCCAAACGGAAAAAATATACGAAAATAAGATGTCAGATTAATCCTAAATAAAGTGTAACCCACATGTAATATTGCGCGTGAAAACAACGAAAATATGTATTCTATACGTAAGGGGGTATAATGAACTTTCAATGGCTATTACTATTAGTTATCCAACCGTAAAGATAATTCTTTAGTTTCGCATATGAATTCCGGGATTCATCATCTTAACCCCTTCCACCTCACCGTCATACCGGGGCTTTTTCACAGTTCTACCTAGACGGTGCACTCTCAGGTGTCTCCTCATATTGCTCTGCACCGAGAATTTTCTTCCGCAGCCAGGTTCGGTACAAACAAAAGGCTTTTCACCAGTGTGGGAATAAGTATGGATCCGAAGTGAACTTGGACGGGAGAATCGCTTTGGACAATAAGGGCATTGATATCGATTATTATTATTGGCATTATTATTACTATTATTATTTTCATTATTATCATTATTATTGTTATTACTATTATTGTTGTTATTGTTGTTAGATGGCGACGTCGGTGATATTACTGTCGTTCCGCTCGATCCACTAACAGGTGATACCTGTTCGTGTCCGGAAGTACCCTGTGAGATCTCGAGATGTGATCGAGGTACGTGCTCAAATGATGTGAAGGTAGGTTGAAGGATGTTACAGGAAGTCGAGTATCTATCGCAATCTCGATTCAGCGAACATCCACGTTCCTCTTGTCGAAGATGGGTGGGATAAGGTGGATTCGGATAAATAATGGATGGAGTTGGGAGTGACGGATGGATGGTTGTTGTCGAAGGCACCTTGACATAACTGTTATACTCGTGATGATGATTCTTCTCTGAATGTTGTTGACGGGATTCATGCTCGTCAAAGGATGTTTCGGGTTTTATCGTATCAGGAGATTCAGGAGGAGAGAGTAAGGAGTGAATGTTGCTACTACCAGGATGCTTAGCAATTGATCCAATTGTAGAAGCAAGGGAGGGAAGACGCGGAAACATGTTTTTGGACTGTTTATCGGCTAATTGATAACTTGGTAATTGATCTCCGGGAGAAAGCAGTACATCGAGAGGACGAATTTTGGAATGAGTAAACGGTGGTGCGTCGGAGTTGAGGTAAGGTCTCTCAGGATGATGCGAAATTCGATCTAGGTAAAGGAAAAATGATCTATTAGCATAAGGTGATTCACATGAAATGACGCGACAGTTTTTTTTCCATAGATAGAAGTTGATCCGCAGATGTACGGAAATCCATTTATCTTATTTCATCGTGAGATTTCTTTATTGCATGAACATGCATGCATTAATTGCTCTTGCGTACCACCGCTGCTACCACCACCACCATATATTGTTATATGCTGGATTTATCTGCCTGCCTTGTAACAATAATCAACAGCGCCTCCTTGTTTCCTTTTTTGCTTAACGTTTGACCAGTATTGAAATAGAAACGTACCATGAGATATTTCCACCAACAAGGTCTTGATCGAAGGTAGGAGATAAGGTTTTGCTGCGTGCATTCTTTTTTTCTGAAGTTTATGATCGACTCCGGGCGTAGAGAAAATCAAAAGAAAAATTTATTTTTTAAACTATTGTTTATGATTATTATTATTTTGTAAAAGAAGAGTGACAAAAGATCCGTTAGTCAAAGCGTCCTTTGTTCCCCCTTTGTCGCGTTGATTCGTAACTTGAGCGTTCTTCGGTAAATTCTATTGATGGAATATATACGTGTGTATATACGTCCACATATATGCGTAAAAAAAAAAAAAAGAACTTTGCTAATTGAGGATTGATTGTATAGTGTAAAAAAGGAAAGAACGGATTATTAATAAGAAAAAAAAATAGTAATTTGGAAAGAACCGGTTTATTGAGATTCCACGAAAGATGAATCAAATAGAATCGAATTAAAAAAAATTGATGCCGAAACTTTTCATCGAGAATAATTTCGTGGGCTCTATGGGGATGACGTAATGTGAATATAAACTTTATAAGAAATATTGTTTTTTTTATACTGGTTGTAAATATATTTATATATACAATATATATCTTTTATTGTTTAATATATACAGTATATACGCCAAGACGATAAAGAAAGTAACGAAAAAATATAGAATGGTATGCTTGTTCTTTCTACCTATCTAACAAAGCAAAAGAAATAAGCAAAGTGATACGCGGTTAAGCGGGAAACGAGAAAGAAATATATATATAAGAAATATATATATATATATATACGTATATAATGATATGTATATATATTAATATATCTGTATATATATGAAAAGACGATAAGAATAGAAAAAAAAAATTTTTTTTTTTTTTTTTTGTAAATTTTTTTTTATATATATATAATATAACACTTATAAAGGGTAGAGAAAAAGATTGAAAAGTTGAGAGTATTTGACTACACCAACATTTTAGATGATGAGTAGCGAAGTTAGTCCTATTTATCTATTTTTCTAATACACAATGAAGTGACATGCAAACATGATTAACATAATTCGATTAGCTATTGTCTCGTGAGCAGCTGTACCAATATTGTGATTTTCACACATTAAAATTCCAAAGTCGAAAAAAATAAATTGCAGTCAACTCAACGCAGGATTAAGTGTTAAACCAATAAAAAAGATCTGAATGATTGTGGATCTCAGGTGCTGTCTAACCTCAGTATGAAATAGTATATAAAAAAAAAAAAATAACAATAATAAATTTTTTTAGTGTATACTTGCTTACGCTGTGTATTATATTAGATATTTAAAATTGTGGAGAAGCCACACACACAACCAGCAGTGACACCATCCCAGGAAATTTAACCGAGTTCCAGCATCTCACACTTACGGCAATATATATATTTATTATTAGCACATCTGGGTATAGATAACCTTTTCACTCAGTGTATGTACGCCTTTCAGAGAGAACACGATAATTCTGATCGATTAATTACTTTAAATGAAAATCAAAAGGATTTTCAATTTCTTCCTCGGTGTTGATTACATAATGTCTTTGCCGGTACGGAATGTGTGATGATGAACTATTCGATTCACAGTTGTCATTATATGCAGATGGTAATCAATCAATCAACAACCATCAACCACTTGGTCACTAATTACGTTCGACTAACTCACGAGGGAATCTCCGTATAATGCAATAATTTTCCCCAACTATAATTCATACACATATATTGAATTCTCCATTTTAGGTAACATTGCTCGGTTGTTGCATGTATATCATACTATTTATGTTGATGCGCATAACCAGAAAATTGTTTTTTTAACAATTCGACTTTTCGCTATTATTTTCGTGCATGTACTACTATTTATTGATACCGTAAATAGATATATGTTCATACTGCGTGATCATCATTCATTCCAACCATTTTTTTTCACGATGTTTTAATTTTTCAAATGTCTATCGCTCCAATTATCTGTCATCGTCAATAATGTACGTACGTGCGTACGTACGTACAGAACGTGCATGTGTACGTTGTATTAAAACATGCGCAGTCATCCCACCCAGAATCACCTTATAATTAAATAAAGTCTTTGCTTTTGTATATTATAATTTATCCACCAATGAAAAACTTTGAGATTTTCAAAACAAAATTCCATTATTGGTTACCGTGGTTTTTGTTTGGAAAAAATGATCTCACAAATGTAAATACAAAAGAATAACTAAACTCTTGTTCACCTAGTAAATATAAAATTTAAACAAACAAATTGTAAATGCCAATATACTGTAAATATATAACATGGCATAGGTAGCATAAGGTAAGCAAAAATCATATACAAACAAACATAATACTTTGTAATTTGTAATAAACAAACAATATTTGTATAATGATTTAAAAAAAAAATTAATTTAATAATGATAATTTGTAATTAATAAGAAATAGTTGATTGATAAATAAAAGCATTTAAATAGTTTATTATATAGGTGATTTTAAATTAAATAAAATTCAATATAATAATAATAATAATAATAATAATAAAGTAAATCAAATAATAAATATTGAATTTTTTATTAAAAAAAAAAAAATTTGTAAAAAAATTTTGATATTATAAAAAATTTTCAAGCTTAAGACGTATAACTTAATAGTATTGAAATTAACGGCGTTTTAAATTAATAATAATAATATATTTATTCTTATTACTATTAATGAAAACAATAATCGATATTTGTAAATTCCAAGATATGTATTATCATATAAATTTTATAAATTTTTAATAAAAAATAACGATAATGCAAATAAAACCAATTTATTTGCGAAACTTGCTTTTAACAATATAGCACACGTCAAACATACAGTAAATACCGTATATACCGATACACTTTATATACTGTATATGCGAAAATATTTAATATATTTGTTATTTGTTAGGCATAATATTTGTTAGATATAATATGTACAGAAAAATAAACCATATATCTTAGTATAAAAGTGTTCTTACCCGAAAGAAATATTGTTTCCATACTGGGGGATTATGTGTTGCATAAGAATCTATACAAAATTGAACCATTTTTTTTAGTCCATGTAACACCGAAATATGATGATATACAAACATCGTTAAGCGATATTCTAATAACGTGTGAAAAAATGCATCAACAAAATGGAGAATTTATTGTGTTAATCTAAACAAGTAAATGATGAACTTGAATTAGATCAGATTTTAGATCTGCACAGAGTTCAGTTATGGTAAGAAAAACAATGAAGTTAACACGATGCATGTAAAATCGCTGAAGAATGTGACGAATTTTTCTTTCAACTAGTTATATAGTGTCGTGCTAGGAAAGATAAATGGATGGCGAGTCTTAGTAATATAAAGAATAGTAAAAACGTGGTGTTCATATTGCGCAGGTAATGAACCTCTTACAATAAATAGCTCATAGTAGAAATGGAATATGTATTTCTACTAATACATTAATGTTAAGCAAGTCGCTTTTGATCTAAACGATGAATTTCATTTTATTAATTAATGACCTTTACCTTTTATTATGGTGTTTCTCTGAAAGACATAGGCGAATGTATCTCCATATTGCGCAAATGATAGACCTTTGTACACTTAAAGATGTTAAGCAAGTGGCTTTACTAATAATCGTCTAGCTTTATTATGGATGCGTGTTAAAACTCTTGATATCACGAGATATAAGAAAAAAGCTACGTTATGAGATTTCAACAGCTTTGCAATTAAAAGTGCAAGGCATACAACATAAAAAAATATATTGAATAAATTTTATTAACAGTAATAACAGATCAAGAAAGAATTATGTAAAGATATCTAAATTGTTCCAGATATTATTGAGCAATCTAACATTTTATTAAAGTTACCACTTGTCAGATTTGGAATTAATTCACCTAAAAATTAATTCTGTTGATTGTAAAGAATGACTAAAGTTGATAGCTTAACTCCTAACTTCCAGAATTACCCTTGGAAGAAGAAAAGTAATGCTGTACTTGTATTTCTTTTAGCTTGGTACTGTTTGGAGATACAAAATAAAAACGCGTACATTATTGAATATCAAACCGAGAATGTGGTATCATTTTACGTTTGCTTTCCCAAATAATGTGAACATTGATCTTCCGATAGAGGTTTATGGCAGACCATGTGTCTGAACTGTTTTATTTTTCACATCTATTAAAAATTCATGTGTTTCTTGTAGATCATTATACCCCAACTGATCGTAGAGATGAAGTGATGCCGGATCTCACAGTCTGTTCAAGTGAAGATGTTTGTTGAACAACCGAAAATTCCTCATTCCGATCCTCTCCCTGGCGACGTGAATGTACTTTGAGTTTATATATCATTATAATATTTCTATAAGATCATAATCACACAAAATTATTTGCGAAATTGTTAATGTTCAAACAAGATGTGAAAAATTGAATGTATCAAAAATATGTGCGATGTTAAGCTTGGCGACATAAATGAAAATGGCAAAGCACAGAGATCAATGATAGTACGTCTAACTATCTATTTATTGTTTTACCCATTTTTTATACAATTTTAATGTTTCTAAAACAGCAAGACGGCTAGACGACTTAACCGATCCATCATCACATTTTTACCAGTTGGCTGCAATAACATTCGAAATAAAATAATGGAATCTGGTACGGATACCAGTTGTAATGATAAAAATATTCACAAATATCAAGTGTCTATTATTAGATTTTGAATAAACCCGTAAATAATGTAGATTATATATCAACAATTCCTGATGGAGTTAAGAGTAATGATTTTCTAATAGAATTATTTGGCATGAATACTAAAAATTTACATATAAATATCAATTCAAATGTAAAATATGTGAACAAATTTTTATTTATTTATATATATTTATATATACTTTCCGTTCGAGCTTTTTGAATAATTCTTTAAAATGTTTTTAGCAAGTGGAACATCATAACGGATTATTGATAGCTAATATTGAGAGCATTGATTTTTTCAAATTTTAATTGATACTTGATAAATTTGTTAAAATATATATATAATTTAAATTTTAAATTAATAAAAAACTTTTTTGGATT